TAATACAAACATTTTTTATATGCTATGTGGACGCTTATGGAAGATTTTTATTTACAACAGTATTTAACATTCTAGAATTATTTCTGAAGTAAGTTTTATACATAAAATATTTATATAAAATATTTACAGTAATACAACTATATGTCCTGAAAAGATCCCACCCAGTGAGAAATGATTCGTGGATCGACGTCGAAACGACGTCGAATCGACATCGACACCGTCGAATTGACGTCGATTCGACATCATTTCGACGTCGATCGACGAATCATTTCTCACTGGGCAGGACATCCCGGGACATATTCAGGATGATCCTGAGGACGTCCTGTGCTATCTGGGTTGGTAATAATTACTGTGAATAAAGTGTAAAATCATCTTTTGTGTACAGCAAATAGTTTCTGATACGATGGAACAACAAGAGTATATAATAATTACCGTCAGATATATGTTCCGATAACTTTCCTATAAGATATTTGTCAAAATGAATTTCTTGTACGTCACCGGTAAAGGGACAAACTTGTATTTGTAGCAGTAGGCCATTGCTAAGCATTAATTGTGCAACCGAGTCGTCGTACCATTGACAATAAGTTACAGAATTATCTCTGAGCTGTTCCTAGACGCAGTAACAATAATACGTGTATATATCTATTGAATGAGGAAGAGTTATGAGGTATAGTGATTTATACCTCCAAGTATTTAATGGAATGTTTCAATTTGTTTCCCTTTTTGTTTTCCGGGACGTAAGTCATGCCACGCTCTTGGCAGTAAGATCTTTTACCTTCTTCTTGAAACTTAACTGCTTACCGTAGCTTAAATGAACTCGTAATGTCGTAACTGGTATGAGGTTAAAAACAACCGGCTTGTGAAGACTTCACTTTTTAAGTGCATGCGTGTGTGTGTGCGTGTGTTCAGTACGCCGGAGGCCCCTACTGTCCGATGGAGCGTATTAAGCGGAAGCGTAACCAGCGGATCGCCAATCCACGGATCCGTTTCAACGGAATCTTGAAAGGGCTCTATCAGAAAGATTCCGTGATTGGCGATCCGCTGGTACGCTTCCGCGTAATCCGCTCCATGGGACAGTAGGGGCCAAACTCCGGCGTACGAAAAACAGCGGATTGTCTGTGATTGGTCGTAGAGTTCGATACGCCTGATACGCGCGTATCGCGATACGCGCCATGGGACGGCACCCTTAATATATTTCAGTGGCTCAGGCCTAAAGTAGAGTCCCTGTAGTAAGAGTCTGGCAAGGGTTGACGCAAAATGGCGTCTGGTCTGTTCGTTATCGCTGCATTACTGCACTAGTGCAGTTAGTTAATTGCACTAGTGCAGTAATGCAGCGATAACGAACAGACCAAAGGTAACCAAATAATAATAATAATAATCCCGCGTTTAGAGTACAGATTCGAGACACCTTATTGGTTCCGCCATTTTGCGTCAAACCAATCAAACGGAGAATATTTCTTGCCAGACTCTTACTACAGGGACTTTACTGTGTATAAGACCGTGCTTCCGCCTATCGTCGGTGCGAGGGAGACTCGATCACGAAACGCGACCCACTGGAGAGAGGCAACCCGCGGTTTCTGTGACTCAAGATGGACGCGCGCGCGCGTCGACATGTCGCCGAC